CTCGCTTCTTTTCAATAAAGTTAATGATGGAGCGCGCGCTAATCATTATTTCAAGCCAACAATGCCATGTTTCAAAGGCAGTGCCGACAGCAATTACATGGCACACGGAGTGTGTAACTCCCTGATTCCTTACCGCAGAGTGATCCTCATTTACCAACAACGTCGGAAGGACGAAAGGCGAGTAACCCCGATCGGAGATCGAACTGATGACCTCTCGATTCGGTTCTGAATTCGACGCTCGGCTGACTGAGCCTCCCCGGTCTGAGGCAATGCGTGACAAATTCCTTGCTGAATGGAATTCGTGGTTAAGACAAAGATCACTCTCTGCTAAAATCGAAATAATCGAACCTGGCACTTCTGGTGTTCCACGCTGACCTCCTTGGCGCTGTGCAACAACGCCTGTAGGTCAACATGTCTTTTGACCTGCTGTCCGTTTTTTGGCTGGTTTCACCGAAGCAGAATGGAAAAAATTCATTGCTCAAGGGAACTGCCAGTTAATAAGAGAAGATCTACGCCACCTGTGGAGTTCGAACTGGCGCCGGCGCCTTCAAAGTGCAAAGCAAAGTACTAGCCCATTGAGCCACTGTACATCCTTAAGTAAACTGTTTCCATAAAATTTCAGGAAACCCGCGCACAATCCTCCATCTTCAACAATCTTAAGTTTTTTAGCCAGTACGACGTGCAACATCGTATAATCTGAGGTCATAAGTACGTGGTGACGTTGAGGCGACAGACAGAATTGTCTCAAGGCCCTCTAATATTGTACCCGCAAAACAACCACCTTGCTGAATCTCCAGGGGAGGGCGTGTTACGTAGCTCGAATGACGTAACTTCGCTTGCAGCGAACAGTCGTTGTGATCGTTCAAAAAACAGAGGCATCAGACGATCAAATGACTCGCAACAACGCCTGGCAATTATCTGCATAAATTCCCGTTGATCGCATATCCACAGAAAACGCTCTGCGCATTGAGCGACTACAAACGACCGTCTAATCATCCACGTTGCGACAGATAAACGAAACTTCAGTGAGTTTTCGTAATTACGACGATGAAAAAAACATGTTTATATCGACAACGAACTGTTAATCAGCAAAAACCAGTTAAGCCTCGTTCCTTGTTGCATTTCGACTGCAACACTGGTTTCTGGCGCTTCAATGAACCACTAAATTTCAGTCAGTATGTAAACCAATCTATCCGGTTATCATGTTATGAAAACATAACGCTGCATTGATAACACTGATAACAACTCTGTTGCCCAAGCGAGAAAAAAACATATATTCTTGCTCGTCTACGCCATCTTTCGATTGCCAAGTAATCCTCATAACATTCCAAGGCTGCAGTGGCAAATTAAGTACTTTTGGAGATTTAACAATCGTGCTAATTTTTACTTCAATGGAAAGAAAGGGGCAAAGAAAATCGGAAGATTGAAAATCCACTGACATACGGATGATCATAGAGGTTCGAAAATTGGGCTGATCGGGCCCATCGGAATCTAGCAATTAGAAACCATCTTCCTTCGCCTGGAGGAATAACTACTAATTGGGACTGCACTCTGTCTATTCCAGGAAACTACTAAACTGAATAACAGCAATGGAACCGATATCCCCAAAATATGAATGAATCCTTGTAAACGAGCCAACCACTCTGAAGACAAGGAAAGGAGGGAAAAATTGTGCAACCGATGGAGATGTCAATCTCCGTTACACGTTCCCATTAATGCCTCATTGTTATCATGAGGGTGTATCTGCAACAAACGATCACTACAGCATGTAGTCTTCTAATTGCTTCTCACTAAACGGTATTCATGTATCCACTTCAGAAGGATGAAAAACGAATTAATCAAAAGCGGCAGGACCCTAAAGAAAATAACTATAAGCGTAA